GTTGCCATGGTAACCATGGAGGTTAGAAAGGTGTGGGGAGGGTGGGAAGTTGTGCTGTGGAATGCAGGATTTAAATAATAACGCAGACACAAAATAATTCATTATGCAAAAGAGAGAGGCAGGGAGGGAGGGAGGGAGGAGGAAAGGATAAGGACACAGAGGACACAGGAAGAGAGAGTGAGGGAGAGGAGGGGAGAAGGGCATGAGGGACAGAGAGAGAGAGAGAGAGAGAGAGAGAGAGAGAGTGTGTGTGTGTGTGTGTGAGAGTGAGAGGGAGGGGAGAGAGAGCTGTGAAAGAACTGCTTTCATGGCTCATGGGCATGGTCTCGTGTTTAGCTGGCAGGGAGACCTTCAGCAGCACAGCCATAAGCCAATGGAACAGAACCAGACTGCTGCCATAGCAGGTGCTACCCCATCCCAACATACAGTACACCCACCCCACCCTCCCATCACTTGAACCCCTCCCTACATACCTTTAGCCCCCTCCCATCGTAAAACAGCCCACCCCAATCCAAACCCATATATCCTAACTCCGGCACTCTTTCAAATAGGCTCCATAATCCCATACTTCATGCCTGTATCCTAGTTCAGTGACACCCTAGCCATACAGCTGGCTACTTAAAGGGAGACAACCCAGGTATTACTGTTAAAGGATGATGATAATGGTATTATTTTACAATCTTATGTAATCCATTCAACAGAGACATATGTCAAATCTCATTGTGCTAACAGCTAACCCTAGAGCTGACCCAGTTCTGACGAGATAATGTGCTCATAAATTAAACGGTAATGGAATCCTGTTGTTGTGACCTGAAGTGCTGAACCACAGTGAGAAATATCTGGATGACACAAAGACTGTACACACAATGAATGTGAGGTGGAACATCAGCACAGAGCGTAAATGAAGGATCCTGCCAGGCAGCACACACATACAAAGGAAGAAGCTGAATAGCTAGTATTCACTACCGATTGTGAAAATGACCAACTAAAAGACTGTTAAAAAAGTACTTATTATTTGTTTTGTGAAATGTCAAATTGGCAGATCTGTAGTGGGATAGATAAGCCTATGGTTAACTGGCCTCTCAGACTGATCCTAATCACACTGGGGGAGCCACTATGGCGTGATTCTCTCTTCTCACACCCCATTAGTCACACCAAGTGCATACCTGCAGCTACACAGGGCACACACAAGCCAAATAGCCACACACACCTAATGGACTGGTTATATAGCGATTTTCCAATGCTCAAAGTGCTTGACATTGTACGCGGGGGGGGGGGGGGGGGGGGGGGGGGGGCTCACCTCATCCTCTCACACAATTCAGTGCCATGTGAACACACACACACACACACACACCTCTATATCTCAGGCTCACAGAGGAAGTATCTTTGTTGTGTGATTTCCTAAAGGGAAAAGGGTGGTCCCCTGGGTGTCAGCAGAGTGGTGAGAGAGGGAGAGAGAGAGAGAGAGAGAGAGAGAGAGAGGGAAAGAGAGGGAGAGAGAGAGAGGGAGAGGAAGGGAGGGAGGAGAACACGGAGAGATAGAGAAAGAATGAGAGAAAGAGCAAAGACAATACATTTGGGAATACAAGAAACACACAAAAACACACCACAACAAAAGGACAGAGAGCCAAAATAAAAGATTGCAGTACATGAAACTGGAGACTGCGGAGAAGTACTCTACAAAAATGACATATGAGCGCCCCCTAAAGGCCACAATGTTCTTATCTTTTTCCTCTTCCCAGGCTGAGGACCAACCTTCCCTGCATGGTGTCTTCCTGGCTTGTTCCCAAAACACAACATGAAACCGTCTGCAAAAACAAAATGGTGCCATGACACAATTTTTTTCTTCCAGAAAGCTTATTTTAATTAATTGTCTTGTCTTTATAGCTAATTTACAACAAGCGATTCACTTAAATGAAACATATTAGTTTGCTTGATATTGTCATTGTCAAATATCTCTTGCAAGATAAATCATTTTAAACATGTTCTGCATCAGTTGACTTTGATGTAATTTTATCATCAGTCTATTCAGTAAAAATGTATATATATTTTGTTTAGGAGTATCACACTATGATATGGATGACTGAGACAGAGAATAAGAAATATATTTGATTTTTCAAATAAATAAATTAATAACATATTATTATTCCATTCATGTAGATTGTGTGTTCTTGTGTACGTGTCTGTCTGTGTAAGAGAATAAGAAGTGCTGTGTGTGTGTGTGTGTGTGTGTGTGTGTGTGTGTGTGTGTGTGTGTGTGTGTGTGTGACCCACTCAAAGTGATGTGTTCCTGTGTCTTACAGGGGGTAGCAGGGCTGTGGTCTCAGGTCCCAGTGCTGAGACTGATGGTTTCTCTAATGTCCAATCATCAGTATGCATTGTCAGAGTGTCCCACTCCCCACACATCTCTGTATTTACAACAGTTCTGGCCAGTCCCCAAAAACTGAGATTTCTTTAAGTGAAAAAAATTATTAAAATGATAATATACAGACTTATAAGTGAATAAAACTGAAACAGTGAAAGCAGTTAATAATAAATAATAAATCCAAAACATTAACACTTTCCATCTCTCACTGGGAAAAGCAAGTAATCCAAAATAAAATAACAATAAATATGAATGGTCACTTCCACCAGTAACTTCACTCTTTAAACGTCAAATCAAAGTTCTTAACAAATGTTTCAAAATATAAACTAGTGTCTGTAAACCCCTGGAATCTATATTTTATTTTGTCTTATTCTCACTCCCTCTATTAATACCTGTATTAATGCTGTCAGTGCAAACATATTATCATACTTATATATTATACCTATAACATATTATTATATATCTTCTAAGACACCCAAACCCACTCTCATTGCATATCATCACTACACTATTGCACCAAATCTCATGAGCGTGGCACTCACACATGCAAGCGCACAGTCACACACACGCAAGCACACACACACATTTGCATCCCCACCCATTCACATGCACAACCACCCACATACGCATACACACACAACCTTACCCTATCCATAAGATTGGACTTGTGTATTATATAGCTACTGTACCTCAACTCAAAACACTCCAGCCACAGGAAGTGAGATGTGTAACTGGAGAAGATAATAAACATACTGCACTGAGGATCAGTTATATCTCAGTTATATCTCAGTTATATCTCAGTTATATCTCAGTTATATCTCAGTTATATCTCAGTAATAGCTCAGTTATATCTCAGTAATAGCTCAGTTATATCTGAGTTATAGCTCAGTTATATCTCAGTAATAGCTCAGTTATATCTCAGTTATATCTCAGTTATATCTCAGTTATATCTCAGTTATATCTCAGTAATAGCTCAGTTATATCTCAGTAATAGCTCAGTTATATCTGAGTTATAGCTCAGTTATATCTCAGTAATAGCTCAGTTATATCTGAGTTATAGCTCAGTTATAGCTCAGTAATAGCTCAGTAATATCTAAGTTATATCTCAGTTATAGCTCAGTTATATCTCAGTTATATCTCAGTTATATCTCAGTAATAGCTCAGTTATATCTCAGTAATAGCTCAGTTATATCTGAGTTATAGCTCAGTTATATCTCAGTAATAGCTCAGTTATATCTGAGTTATAGCTCAGTTATAGCTCAGTAATAGCTCAGTAATATCTAAGTTATATCTCAGTTATAGCTCAGTTATATCTCAGTTATATCTCAGTTATATCTCAGTTATATCTCAGTTATTATGTGTTTCTTTGTGTGTTTGTGTGTCAGGACTGTGTGTTGTGGAAGGGCAAATCGAGCAAAGTCAATGACCAAAACAAATCCCCAAACACAAGAGAAACTTTACCCAAACAAAGCAATGGAATATTGTTGAAGAGATATTACATTTTACAGGCTCTAACTCCTGTTATAAATCGTCATTAAAAATATATATTTGTATAGGCCATTTTGTCTGTTAAACGTGTTATATATACGTAGCCTTAATTTGTGAGGAAAGAAAGAGAGAGAGCAAGAAAGAGGCAGAGAAAGAGTGGTAGAGAGGAAGAGATGATTTAATCCTCACACAGTCCACACACACACAGGCCAATGAGAACACTGTGTGTGGGTTGTTGAGGGGTCTATTTGGAAGAGTGATCAGAGAATTGGCTGTGGTGCTCTTAACACTAAAGCGCTGAAGCTAAGGACTCTGCTGTTGGGCCTTAAGAGAACATTCAGCCTGGAATCTGCCTGACCGTTACAAACAGGCCAGAACACCCAGTGCTTTTGGAGAAGAGCTAGGTGGATTAGAATGGCACTACTGTACTGCTGACCGTGTGTGTGGTACAGAAGAGACCCAGAGGTTATATGTGAGGTCGTCCATTGTCTATGCACACAGTGAGTTAGCACACAAGACAGACACCCTCCTCTTTCTCCATCTGTACCGCTCTGCTCTTCTCTCTGTTGAGACATGCTAAAAACTCCCCCACCATCAAAACAGAGAACGGGTGGCGCACACCTCTCAGTCATTTCTTCTTCTTCTTCTTCTTCTTCTTCTTCTTCTTCTTCTTCTTCTTCTTTCTGCTCTTCTTATTCTTCATTCTTCTTCTTCTTATTCTTCTTCTTCTTCTTCTTCTTCTTCTTCTTCTTATATCCTCTATCCTTTTCCTCAACTTCCTATCGTCTTTGTCTCTTCGCATGCTTTCTACAAATTCAGCATTTAGTTTACTATTTAGCTGCTTTTGAAAAATGCCTCTCGCTTTTCATGCTATTCACTGGTGATTGAGCGAATATCCGTTGTTTTCCAGTCCAGCACAATTCAGCATTTTAGTTTATATTTGAGCTGCTTTTGAAATGCCCCGCATGTTATATGGGTGATGACGAATGCAGTCTTGTATGGGATGATAGTTTTGACACACAGAGCAAAGCCTTCTCACTAGAATATAGCCTCCTCCGTGTCAGAGGGACTCAATATGATTTGTGTGTCCCTCCATAGTCTATGCACTCCTTCTCTCTCTCTCTCTCTCTCTCTCTCTCTCACCTTTTCATGTCCTGAATGGAGAGAGAGTTGACAGGAGGAGGAGAGAAGGCTAAGGGATATAAAAAAGGAGGGATCAGAGGGCTGCTGATGGTTTTGCCCGCCTGTTTGTCAGTGGGGATGTCAAAGGCAGCCAATGAGACTGAGGGAGACGGAGAGGGGGAGATGGCGGATCCGTTACCCTGTGCTTATCCTGGGGACGCCCCCCGCCCTTCCCTGCCACGCCCAACTGGGTCACCCCTCTCCAGTCTCTCTCAGTACTCATAACACATTGATTATATATGAATACTGATGAAATACTGTCCTTACCTGTCTCTCTGTGTTTTTATTCCTGTGTCTCTCTTTTAATATTATTCTGTGTGTCTCTCTTCACGTCCCCCCCTGTGTGTGTGTGTGTGTATGTCTCTGCCTTAGTGTTTGTCTGTGTCTCTCTGTGTCTCTCTCTGTCTCTCTGAGCGCTGGTTGGGCTGGAGGGCAGACTGGCTGAGGGTGGTTTAGGGGGTGGAGGTGGGTTAGGGGGCAGCCTCACAGCCTCTCCCGTGTGGGGATCCAGATGTAAGGCCCCGATTGCTCTTCGATCACCGTCTTCACCTTGTGGTAAACCTCCTCGAAGCTGTCGCCTTCCACCACAGCTGGAGAGGGGGAAGAGGTAAGGTGAGGGAGAGGGAGACATAGAGAGGAAGAGATGAAGAGAGAGAGAGAGAGAGAGAGAGAGGGGGAGAGAGAGAGAGTCAGATATGTGTCTTTCTGTGTGTGGAAGGAACTATGAGCCAACATCAAGATCAAGTCAGAGGAGAATTAGGTCAACACGTTCCAGCGTAGTCCTATCCTGCAATTAATGACCGAAAGCACCCTCTTTGGACTCATGGGAGGATTGTTGTAAATATAACATTAATAACATTTTTATTTATTTTTTACAATGAAAATCTGTTGTCAAACAGTTCTGTTATATTTCAATTTCAACTCTATATCTGACATGGTACAGGTGCCTTATTTTTTTAAAGCCCATAACCATGTGTGTGAGGTGTGTCAGTAGCTGAGTGTAGATGCGGTGAGGAATCAAGCGCAGGAAACACGGGCGTTCGTCAACAGACTTTAGTAACAAAAATAACAGCACCAAACAGGCGAACAGCCAACCCAACCGGGAGGCAAAATACAAAGTACGCACAATACACACAGTGCGTAAAAATGACGATAGCGCACACAGTGCGGACTCTCGGAAAAACAACAATCCTGAGAGTAATACCAAAGAGCAACAGCTTGACAAATAAACAATACCACATAACACCTGCCCCCACACACGAAAACTAAATAGGCAACCAAATCAAACACTAACAAGGGACAGGTGTACAAACAGACAAAACCAAACAAACATGAAACATCGAACGGTGGCAGCTAGTACTCCGGGGACGACGACCGCCGAAGCCTGCCCGAACAAGGAGGAGGAGCAGCCTCGGCCGAAACCGTGACAAGGTGTATACTTTTGTTTCAAAGTAGAATTGTTTAAGACTACCAAGAATCACTCTGTGACCCTGATTTAACCCACTGCGGTAAAAGGTTAATTAATGGAATTACAGCCCAAAGTGTTACCTGAGAAGCACTCTAGGAAGTCCTGTTCCAGTTTGAGAGCACGGTCCATGCCCTTCCTGGCCTGCTCTTCTGTCAGACGAGTGTTGATCTCTCTGCACAACAACAACACACACAATCACCAATCAACACAAGTCAGATAGCTAGTGTGTGACTATGTCTATACTTTGTGTTTATGTGTGTGTGTAAGTGTGTACATACAGGACATTCTCCAGTGACTTGGGCCGGACGAAGATGGCGATGGGGTGCAGCTGAGCGGCCTGTAGTCTGCGGACAGCATTGGCCGACACGTCCAGTATACAATGTTTCCCCTGCTACTCACACAGCACAGGAGGGAAAGGGAATGATGAGGGGAGGGAGAGAGAGGAAGGAGGGGAGGGAGAGATGGAGGAGGGAGAGATGGATGGAGAGAGAGGAAGGAGGGGAGGGAGATGGAGGGAGAGAACAGAGGGAGGTAGGGAAGGAGGGAGGAGGGCAGGGAGAGAACAGAGGGAGGTAGGGAGGGAGGGAGTAGGGGATTCAATCAGCCAGATCCTTTTACACTTCTTAAGCCAATCAATACAGTACAACAGCTGTTGTTGTGACCATGTTAAATGATGTATAGCGGCCTAATGTATCATCCCTCTCATCTAAACCCATTATAAATAATATATTATCATATTAATAACATAATGATAATATACTGTATCTCTATGGGGGATGTCATCTATGCTGTACCTGCTCTGCCACCTCGCGGACACTCTGGACGCTGGTGCCGTACAGGTGGCTGTTGTACTGGCCCGCCTCGATGAAGCGGTGGCTCTGGATGTCCTTCTCCATCTGTTCCCGTGACGACACAAAGTGGTAGTCCCGCCCGTCCACCTCGTACTCCCGCTTGGGCCGTGTGGTGTCTGTGGGGGAGGGGCCAAGCGATCAGTCAGGCTGTCAATCAATCACCCTGTCAATAGATCAACGTAAACCAATTGGGTGAGCAGGGAAATGGTTAATCTTTGACGGGTCAATACTTACGAGGGACACAAGATCCAAACTTGTCAGGGAACTCTGACAGCAGGTCATCATTTACCCTGTCCTTTATGGGACCCAATATTATGATGGGCCTGGCATAATGCACTATATGGAGAGAGAGAGAGAGACAGGTAAGACGGAATAAATAAGGAGTACATAGAAGTATAAAGTGAATAAAATAGTACTTGAAAGTCTATTCTCACCCTCTACTTGTGTGACTGTTTCATAGCTGTGTTGAGAATCATCTCTCCCTGAAACCAGAACACAACAACACCAGCCAGTCAGTCCGACAGTTAGTTAGCTGGTCAGTCAGTCAGTAGCTACTGATCATCTGATCACCGTGTCATTCTACCTCTACTGAGGGCTGAGCCAATCTCCTCCTCTACGGCTGCTTACCTTGAGATCCGAGGCTGTCCCGACTGCGATCCTACACAACACAGAGAAAACAGCTGTTTAGACAGAGAGACAGAGGAAGACATTGGTGTAAAATGATTCATAGAATCTCACTAACTTATGTGCTTACCCTCTCTTTGGTGCCCATGCGAGACCACTCTTTCCTTTCTACCCTGAAGGGGTTGGGAATGAAAGGAGGCAGTAAAAGGCAGAGGGAGAGAAAGAGAGCAGCAGAGGGGAAAAAAGGAGTGTGAAAGGTTGGAAGTGAAAGATCTGCTACATAACCATAGAATACAGCATCAATCATAGAATACATAACCATAGAATACAGCATCAATCACGCTGTCTACGCAATTCCCCATGCAGACGGAAAAAACAGAAAAAAGCTGATTGAAATACACATTCACACAACACACACACACACACACCCCATCACACAGAGACAGGCAGTGCTGTGAGGTGTCTGACCTGCGTTTGCTGGGAATAAAGCCGACCTCCTCAACGTCTGTCTGGGGGCTGACCCGTCTGGCCTGCCACCACTCCTCATCACCACAGTCCAGGACATGGAGCACGTCACCAAACCTGAAGCCCACCGCCTGGCTCAGGAAACCACAGTCTGCTGTCTTGTCATAGTCAAACAGGGCCCTGGGACAGACGGAGGAGAGGAGACCATGGGAGAGGAAAGGTAGAAGACAAAGTTATAAAAGTAGATACAGCCATTCTTTGAGGTGTAGTGGGTTGTCGTGCTCTGAGGTGTTCACAGTGCTGTACTAGCCTGGTAGTAGCAGTGTTGTGTCATTGTGGGATTGTATATAGTATACAACACAGTATTAATTAGTACCTGACGTTGAATCCTCTCTTGGGGTTGCATATAGTATATAGTGCAGTATTAATGAGTACCTGATGTAGAAGCCTCTCTTGGGGTTGTATATAGTGCAGTATTAACGAGTACCTGATGTAGAAGCCTCTCTTGGGGTTGTATATAGTGCAGTATTAACAAGTACCTGATGTAGAAGCCTCTCTTGGGGTTGTATATAGTACAGTATTAATGAGTACCTGATGTAGAAGCCTCTCTTGGGGTTGTATATAGTACAGTATTAATGAGTACCTGATGTAGAAGCCTCTCTTGGGGTTGTATATATTACAGTATTAATGAGTAACTGATGTAGAAGCCTCTCTTGGGGTTGTATATAGTACAGTATTAATGAGTACCTGATGTAGAAGCCTCTCTTGGGGTTGTATATAGTACAGTATTAATGAGTACCTGATGTAGAAGCCTCTCTTGGGGTTGTATATGGTACAGTATTAATGAGTACCTGATGTAGAAGCCTCTCTTGGGGTTGTATATAGTACAGTATTAATGAGTACCTGATGTAGAAGCCTCTCTTGGGGTTGTATATAGTACAGTATTAATGAGTACCTGATGTAGAAGCCTCTCTTGGGGTTGTATATAGTACAGTATTAATGAGTACCTGATGTAGAAGCCTCTCTTGGGGTTGTATATAGTACAGTATTAATGAGTACCTGATGTAGAAGCCTCTCTTGGGGTTGTATATAGTACAGTATTAATGAGTACCTGATGTAGAAGCCTCTCTTGGGGTTGTATATAGTACAGTATTAATGAGTACCTGATGTAGAAGCCTCTCTTGGGGTTGTATATAGTACAGTATTAATGAGTACCTGATGTAGAAGCCTCTCTTGGGGTTGTATATAGTACAGTATTAATGAGTACCTGATGTAGAAGCCTCTCTTGGGGTTGTATATAGTACAGTATTAATGAGTACCTGATGTAGAAGCCTCTCTTGGGGTTGTATATAGTACAGTATTAATGAGTACCTGATGTAGAAGCCTCTCTTGGGGTTGTATATAGTACAGTATTAATGAGTACCTGATGTAGAAGCCTCTCTTGGGGTTGCTCCTTAGTGTTGTCTGGCCAGAACCCATGCTGCTGTTCATCAGCTGTTCCCTCAGGTCGTGGATCTTCGCTTCGAAACGGCTGTACTCTGAACACACACATACACATTAGCACATGTATGGTCCCTTCGCGTACGGTGATGCAGTGTTGTGTGCAGTGGTAGGTTACTCTAGTGCTGGCCTCACCCTCTGGTCTGTACTGGGCGATGATGGTGACAGTCTGGCCAGCGTTCTTCAGGGCTGCTGCAGCCTGCTCATGGGTGGCGATACGCAGGTCCACTCCATTCACCTGACACGCACACACACACACACACACACACACACCACACACACACACACACACACACACACACACACACACACACACACACACACACACACACACACAAACACACAAACACAGGACACAGAGCATAATACTAACACATCCTAAACACTCAGAGAAGTGTGTGTGTGAAGCTGTGTGTCTGTGTGCATGAGAAAGAGAGTGATAGAGAGTTTGTTTATATATGTAAGTGTGTTCCTGTGTGTACAGAATATGAATCCACTTGTGTGTGAGTGTGTGTGTGTGAGTGTGTGAGTGTGAGTGTGTGTGTCCTTACGCTGAGGATCTGGTCGCCCTTGCGCAGCTCTCCGCTCAGGTCGGCAGGCCCCCCTGCCAGGATGAAGGAGATGAAGATGCCCTCTCCATCCTCTCCTCCCACGATGTTAAAACCCAGGCCTGTAGAACCCCTGTGGATCAGCACTCTCCTAGGGTCCCTGACAGAGAGAGGAGGGGAGAAGGGGAGGGATGGAGGGTCAGGAAGAGACGAGGAGAAATGGAGGGGAAGGAGGAGACTAACAAGAGGGAGAGATAACATGGGGAGGGAGAAGGGCAGATAACATGAGGGTAAAGAGATATGTAAATGGAGAGTGAAATGGGGACACCACATTTTGGGGCACAAGAAAAAGAGAGGCAGAGAGAAAAATAAAATAATAGTTGGTTAGCTCTGGGTCAGGCCTATGCTAACCAAATCTACCTCCACCAGGAGCTTTTAATTTTCACACCAAGCCCATCATTTATGATCCCCATGAGGGGCCTTTGGAAAGGCCATTGGTTGATTTGGCATTTGAGTCTGCCCAGAAAGCTTTGCTCACCTGGGAAGGTCTTCATCCCCCATCATGCTGTGCAACACTGGAGAGAAGCGACTGGGTGAGGTGGGAGTGAGGGCTTGTGGGTAATCTGATCCAAGGTAGCTGGGGTGGCCAAGATCTGTGTCCATGTGAGGGGAGTATGCTGGGGAAAGAAGACATGGACCATTAGAGGATCACAGACACACACACACACACACACACACACACACACACACACACACACACACACACACACACACACACACACACACACACACACACACACACACACACACACACAACACTTACTGCTGGTAAGGTCTGGCGGGTTGTAGGAGTTCAGGTAGAGGTTGTTAGGCTTGGCCACCCTGAGGTAAACCACCTCGGCTGTGTTCTTCAGGGCTCCCACTGCATCCTCATGCATCACGTCCTCCAGACAAACACTGTTCACCTGAACACACAGACAGAAGGGGAACAAGGATCAGACTTACTGCTACACAGGCTGCTAACCTGTACATCATGGACGCAGTAAAATAGCTCCTGCAGTGCTGACAGGCATTTTATACAGCTTCCTAGTCAATGAAATGTCAACGTGATCCTTCTCTCTGAGGACGTTCTGAAGCTATTCTAAATCACAGGCATGGTATCATAGCTCATTGGGAAATAAAGCAGTGGACCAGGCTCCATTTGGCAGGGACACATGCACCATTTTGTAGCTTCTGCATGGAGCCCATATTGAGTGTAATCCACCACTCATCTGCAGTTGCTCCATGGCCCAGGAGATGGCAGTAGTGCCACACAGTGCAGGCAGCAGCAGTAGCAGTGCTGCTGATGTTAAATAGCTCTCCTATCCCACACACCTATTACCATATTAATGAAAGTAATCTCAGGCTGTGAAAATTACAACTGTAATTTATCTAGATTCTTAATGCACCTACGCTGCTGAAGTGGACAAGATATGTTGGATTGTCTAAGTGTTCCTCTACTACGTGTAAGACAGCGAGACTGTCTGCCAGTGTGTGCGTGAGGACTGACCGCCAGTATCTTATCCCCTATCTGCAGCCGCTGGTCCTTGTGAGCAGCCCCGCCCTCGATGATCTTAGTGACATAGATGCTGTTGTCTCCTGGTATGTGCTGGTTACCCACCCCTCCAGCAATGCTGAAACCTAGACCTATGGGAGGGACAGGATGGAGCAGAGAGAGAAAGGGAGAGAGAGAGTGAGAGACGGAGAAAGAGAGAGAGAGACGGAGAGCGAGAGAGAGAACGAGAGAGGGAGTAAGAGAGAGAGAGAGAGAGAGAGAGAGAGAGAGACAGAAAGGAGAGAGAGACAGAGGGAGACAGAGAGAGAGAGAGAGAGATGGATAGAGAGAGAGAGAGAGAGAGAGAGAAGAGAGAATGGAGAGAGAGATAGAGAGAGAGAGAGAGAGAGAGAGAGAGAGAGAGAGAGAGAGAGAGAGACGGAGGAGGTAAATAATAACTGACAGGTACATAAATATGTAAGCACTAACCACACAAACAAATAGAAACCCAAACCGAGCAGTACCTTTGGGCCCTTTGATGAGCTTGATCTCTGTGACTTTCTCTGCGGCTGGTTTTCTACGGAGCACGTAGAGGCGGACGATAGCCCCCGCCTCCTTCAAAGCCTCCACAGCCAGACTGTGGGTCACCTCCCTCACATCCACGTCATTCACAAACAGGATACTGTCATTCACACTGAGAGAGAGAGAGAGAGAGAGAGAGAGAGAGAGAGAGAGAGAGAGAGAGAGAGAGAGACAGAAATAGAGAGAGAGAAGAGAAAGGTTTATTGTCACCATTGGGGTGCCAGGACAGAGACGAGTTTTGATTGGGCTGAGCGGGGCCAAGAGACCTGAGATGGCAGAATGGAGTACTCGGGTTGCGGTATAGGGTTTGAACATAGCCTGAATATAGGGAGGGGTATGTTCTGTAGGTAAGCACCATGGTATTGTAGTGGATGCAAGCTTTGACTGGAAGCCAGTAGAGTGTGCGGAGGAGCGGGGTAACATGGGAGAGCTTGGGAAGGTTGAAAACCAGACGGGCTGCAGCGTTCCGGATAAATTAAAGGGGTTTGATGGCACAAGCGGGGAGCCCAGCCAACAGCGAGTTGCAGTAGTCCAGACGAGAGAGGACAAGTGCCTGGATTAGGACCTGTGCCGCTTCCTGTGTGAGGTAGGGTCGTACTCTATGGATGTTGTAGAGCATGAACCTGCAGGAGCGAGTCACTGCTTTGATGCTTGCAGAGAACGACAGGGTGTTGGCCAGGGTCACGCCAAGGTTCTTTGCACTCTGGGAGGGCGACACTGTGGAGTTGTCAACCGTGATGGAGAGGTCTTTGAGCGGGTAGACCTTCCCCAGGAGGAAGAGCAGCTCCATCTGTCAAGGTTGAGCTTGAGGTGGTGGGCCGACATCCAAGTTGAGATATCTGCCAGGCACGCAGTGATACTTGTTGCCACCTGGGTGTCAGAAGGGGGGAAGGAGAAAAGTAGTTGAGTGTCATCCGCATAGGAGATAGGAGATAGGAGAGACCATGTGAGGATATGACAGAGCCGAGTGACGGTGTATAAAGAGAAGAGGAGAGGGTCTAGAACTGAGCCCTGGGGGACACCAGTAGTGAGAGCACATGGTGCAGACACAGATCCTCTACACGTCACCTCATAGGAACGGCCTGCCAGCTAGGATGTAATCCAAGAGTATGCAGAGCCTGAGACGCCCAGCCCTGAGAGGGTGGAGAGGAGGATCGGATGGTTCACGGTGTCGAAGGCAGCGGATAGATCTAGGAGGATGAGAACAGAGAGAGTAAGTAAGCTTTGGCAGTGCAGAGAGCCTCCGTGACACAGAGAAGAGCAGTCTCGGTTGAGTGACCCGTCTTGAAGCCTGACTGGTTAGGGTCAAGAAGATCGTTCTGAGAGAAATAGCGAGAAGGTTGATCAGAGACAACACGCTCAGGTGTTTTGGATAGAAAAGAAAGAAGGGATACAGGTCTTTAGTTTTTGACGTCAGAGGAGTCGAGTGTTGGTTTTCTGAGGAGGGGAGCGACTCGGGTCATTTTGAAGTCAGAGGGGACGCAACCAGTGGTCAGGGATAAGTTGATGAGGGAAGTGAGGAATGGGAGAAGGTCTCCAGCGATGCCATCTCTCCTATTCTCTCATCCCTTTGAGATGGCCCTGCGCACTATCATCTCTACAGCATAGTCTCTTGGCCCCATCCTCCTGTCCTGTGTCAGCTGGGCTGGTCTTCACTCTATCACTCTAACTATCCAGAGAGAGTAGCAGTCCGTCCGTCAGTCCGTCAGTCAGTCCGTCAGTCAGTCAGTCAGTCAATCCAACCACCAGTAACCCTTTAGTTCAGTGTCAGCTCCAGGTCCGCAGTGTATGCACTATGTAGATACAGAGCAGACAAGGCTTTTAAAGCACCATAATGTGAGTCACATTTTTCAAAGCCTTGGTGCTCATAAATATTCAGGACCTGACATTTGTATGACCTTGTCCACTACTTCATCTGCTCTTAAGGTTACATTACGAAACTCGCCTTTGCATACGCTTCATTCGTGGACCACACTTAACATAACCATTTACACTGGTAAATGTAGATTTTAGAGACACATTTCAGCACATTCTAGTGACTGTCAAACTATCTTTTGATGCATTCAAAGCTATTGAATTTTCTATAACATTAAGAGACATATCAAATGCATGAGAAATAATGGAAAGTGTGATTGTGATGGAGGCAGCCCAGCCAGCCTTGAATGACAGGGTAGACGTGTAATATTAATCTCCTCTGATGATACCTTCTAGAATCCCAGATGTGCCCTTTAAATGCCATGTTAAATTCCTTCAGTAATGGACAGGCCTGTGAGGGAGAGAGTGTGTGAGTGCTAGCCAGCCCCAAGGCCAAGGCTGACAGAGAGATGGATGTTGGAGTGTGGTCCAGTAAAGAGGGCCTAGGTAGGGTGAGGAGGATGAGGAGAAGGAGGAGGGGGAGGGAGGACTATATTTAGGCAGCTCCACTGTGATGGGTGGACTCAGTGGTGAAAAGCATCTGTCTGGCTGACTGAGTGAATGCAGTCTGTGGAGGGGAGGAGGAGGTTGGGCACCAGAGTGTCACTTCTCTCTCTGAGACCCAGCTGGCACTGACATGAGTAGCCTACATCACTGTTGTAGCCCTGGGTCGTGGGTTTGTTTGTGTGTTAGTGTCTATGTGTGTGTGTGTGTGTGTGTGTGTGTGTGTGTGTGCGTTTGCATATACATGCATGAGCCTGTAAGTATTAAATGTGTGTACATACACTTGCACATACAGTTGAAGTCGGAAGTTTACATACACTTAGGTTGGAGTCATTAAAACTTGTTTTTCAACTACTCCACACATTTCTTGTTAACAAACTATAGTTTTGGCAAGTCGGTTAGCACATCTACTTTGTGCATGACACAAGTAATTTTTCCAACAATTGTTTATAGACAGATTATTTCACTTATAATTCACTGTATCACAATTCCAGTGGGTCAGAAGTTTACATACACTAAGTTGACTGTGCCTTTAAACAGCTTGGAAAATTAAAAAAAAATGATGTCATGGCTTTAGAAGCTTCTGATAGGCTAATTGACATCATTTGAGTCAATTGGAGGTGTACATTTACATTTTTAGTCATTTAGCAGACGCTCTTATCCAGAGCGACTTACAGTTAGTGAGTGCATCTACCTTCAAACTCAGTGCCTCTTTGCTTGACATCATGGGAAAATAAAAAGAAATCAGCCAAGACCTCACAAGACCTCCACAAGTCTGGTTCATCCTTGGGAGCAATTTCCAAACGCCTGAAGGTACCACGTTCATCTGTACAAACAATAGTACGCAAGTATAAACACCATGGGACAATGTAGCCATCATACCGCTCAGGAAGGAGACGCATTCTGTCTCCTAGAGATGAATGTACTTTGGTGTGAAAAGTGCAAATCAATCACAGAACAACAGCAAAGGACCTTGTGAAGATGCTGGAGGAAACAGGTACAAAAGTATCTATATCCACAGTAAAACGAGTCCTATATTGACATAACCTGAAAGGCCGCTCAGCAAGGAAGAAGCCACTGCTCCAAAACCGCCATAAAAAAGTCAGACTACAGTTTGCAACTGCACATGGGGACAAAGATCGTACTTTTTGGAGAAATGTCCTCTGGTCTGATGAAACAAAAATATAAATATTTGGCCATAATGACCATCGTTATGTTTGGAGGAAAAAGGGGGTGGCTTGCAAGCCGAAGAACACCATCCCAACCGTGAAGCACGGGGGTGGCAGCATCATGCTGTGGGTGTGCTTTACTGCAGGAGGGACTGGTGCACTTCACAAAATAGATGGCATCATGAGGAAGGAAAATTATGTGGATATATTGAAGCAACATCTCAAGACATCAGTCAGGAAGTTAAAGCTTGGTCGCAAATTGGTCTTCCAAATGGACAATGACCCCAAGCATACTTCCAAAGTTGTGGCAAAATGGCTTAAGGACAACAAAGTCAAGGTATTGGAGTGGCCATCACAAAGCCCTGACCTCAATCCTATAGAACATTTGTGGGTAGAACTGAAAAAGCGTGTGCGAGCAAGGAGGCCTACAAACCTGACTCAGTTACACCAGCT